TGATGGTCTGCAAAGACACTTGAGGATTCACAGTGGAATCAAGCCTTATGAATGTGTTGAATGTGAGAAAACATTTACATGTTCAAGTAGTCTGCAGAAACACATGAGGATTCACAGTGGAATCAAGCCTTATGAATGTGTTGAATGTGGGAAAAAATTTACACAATCAGGTGGTCTGCAGACACACAATAGGATTCACAGTGGAATCAAGCCTTATGAATGTGTTGAATGTGGGAAAAAATTTACATGTTCAAGTAGTCTGCATACACACATGAGGATTCACAGTGGAATCAAGCCTTATGAATGTGTTGAATGTGGGAAAAAATTTACACAATCAGGTAGTCTGCAGGCACACAATAGGATTCACAGTGGAATCAAGCCGTATGAATGTGTTGAATGTGGGAAAAAATTTACATGTTCAAGTAGTCTGCATACACACATGAGGATCCACAGTGGAATCAAGTCTTATGGATGTGTTGAATGTGGGAAAAAATTTACACGATCAAGAAATCTGCAGACACATTCAAGAATTCACAGTGGAATCAAGCCATATCACTGTGTTGAATGTGGGAAACAATTTACACAATCACATGATATGCAGGCACACATGAGGATTCACAATGGAATCAAACCTCATCAGTGCATTGTGTGTGAGAAAACATTTACACGCTCTAATACTCTGCAGAGACACATGAGGATTCACAGTGGAATCAACTGTTGCAGAGAAAACACATGAGGATTCACAGTGGAATCACTGCATTGTGTGTGAGAAAGCCTTATGAAGGATTCACACAGGAATTGTGTTGAATCAAGCCGATGTGGGAAGAAATTTAAAATCAAAAAATCTGGAGAGCCATTGAGGATTCACAGTGGAATCAAGTCACAATCTCATAATATGCAGGAACACATGAGGACATGAATATTCACAGTGGGATCAAACCTGGAGAGACACATATCACAGTGCATTGTGTGTGAATGCGAAAGAAAACATTTACACATCTCTTCCGGAAACACATATATTCACAGTGGGCAGATATCACTGCATGAGGATTTACACACAGTTTGCAGATATTGAAGAAACACATTGAGGAGGATTCACAGTGGAATCAAGCCTTATGAATGTGTTGAATTGAATACACGATCAAGTACTCTCCGGAAACACATGAATATTCACAGTGGGATCAAACCTTATCACTGCATTGTGTGTGAGAAAGAATTTACACACTCTTATAGTTTGCAGATACACCTGAGGATTCACACAGGAATTAAGAAACACATGAGGATTAACAGTGGAATCAAGCCTTAAGAGTGTGTTGAATGTGGGAAGAAATTTACACAATCAAAAAATCTGGAGAGCCATATGAGGATTCACAGTGGAATCATGCCTTATGAATGTGGGGGAAAAAATTCACAATCACATAATATGCAGGCACACATGAGGATTCACAGTGGAATCCAGGCTTATGAATGTGGAAAAAAATTTAAACAATCAATAAGTCTGCAGAGACATATGAGGATTCACAGTTGAATCAAGCCTTATGAATGTGTTGAATGTAAGAAAACATTTACAATGTCAGGTGACCTTCAGACACACGTGAGGATTCATATTGGAATCAAGCCTTATGAATGTGTTGCTTGGGGAAAAAATTTAGACATTCAAGTAATCTGCGGAGACACATGCGTATTCTCAATTAAAATCATGCTTTATGAATGTGTTGAAAGTGTGAAAAAAATTACAAATATTAGAATCGTATTCTATCTCACAGTTTGTACTCTCTCTCATGATTGACAGCTGAGTGGCAACGAACTTTAAACAAAGTTTTCGGTCTCCCTTGTACCTCTCGCCCGAACATGCCCCACTGCTCCCATTTCTGGACAGACATTCCCTGCATGCTCCATGCCCCCCGGCTAATCACATGACTCACTTGTCTGATCATTCTCTTCCTTGTCATGCTGCTGAGCATACGTGTTGCAATTTTGAAGTGAAGTTTTTCTGATTCTATTTTACGATGGGAAAAGGGAACTTGTCTTCAATGCGAGATGGTTTGCTCATAATCTAGAAGGGCATGAATGTGGAGAAAGCCTGCTGTTCACCATCTTCATCGACAGAACTTGAAGATTTTTGTCAGAAAGCCCATCGAACTGTTATCTTAACAAGACTCAGTGATTTGTTTTTCATTGAAAGCGATGTCTACATTCGGTATTCAATCAAAATATTGAAACTTCAGGAATTCAAAATGAGGTTTCAAGCTCTGCACATTGCTAGTACACATACGTCTATTTGCATACAAACTGTAATATGACTTGCTGTTCGGAGTTGAAACTGAGGCATACCAAACCTCCTTCGAACCCTCAAGTTATGGCAATCTCCACCCTTCCTTCACCAGACATCTTTAGACGACTCTCAGCAATACGCTCGGCTTACCTGCTGGACCAACCTCCTTCGACTTCGACTTCTTGACCTCCTCTCTACATGCGACAAATGTTCTGCCTGCAACGACTCTTTACCATACAGCGGACATCCATCATGCTACAATCAGACAACCTTACATGAATGTTCAACTTTCGGCAACCCTCCTGCCTACAACATTCATCAAGTCCATCCTTGGCAACTAATCTAAATTCTTCTACAGACTCTCAGCGTTTGTCAAACCTCTTACATGAAATGATCTCTTCAACTTTTGATGGCAAACTGCTCATCTGATGAACCCACCTGGTTCTACTGTTGCTGGGGATGAGTTCCCTTCGACACAGTCCCTCATACATTGCACTTATTTTACCTGTTTTCTGGGATACTCAGGAGGATGTTCATACGCATCCTTCGCTGGACTTTGAATTAATGGTCCAAGCTGGGTCTTCTGCCAGGAGGCAGATGCAGATGCACACTGAAATGTTTACTGAGGTTCGGCCCCAGACTGTGACACCAAACCCTCCAACAGTGTTTGAGCCGGTTCAGCACTCACCTTCACCCTCACCTACATAGTCAGGGGGGGTTTCCAGCTCAGAGGGCAGTGTGGAATATGTCAACTCGTGGCATGTGCTTGCGTGGATAGTGGATAATTTTAACTGATTGACAACAGATACTAGACACCTGAATTCATAATATTCGTCTAACTTACCCTCATCCACTATCTGTTCAAATTGCAACCAGCTGTGATGTGACGTTCCTTGATGAACATGGTTCGCCGAATTCAGTTTTGCATATTTTCAGAATGCTCCAACAGGTTTGTCGAACCTGTTAGGTTTTGGGGCCTGGTCTCTCTAGCACTGTCCCAAGGGAAGACGTTGCGTTGCGTCTATGGCAGGAGCTTCTTGATCTGCTTGCATCCGTTCGAGCCCTTACGGTCAGGCCTCAGCTCCAGCGATCAATTCACATCTTCATCCCTTTCTGATCCACATGTGTTGATCCACCTATTTCTGTCGCTCCACCCATATTTTTGCCGGTGGCTTGGCCTGCTGAACGTCTGCAGAGGAGTTTATTGGCTGAAGAAGCGTTTTGCGTCTTGGGCCACAAATATGAGTTTGAAGCGCACCTGCGTAACATGTGTGGGTCTCGTGGACGCATCGACTCGAGCAGTATTAATTTCATATCACAAATCAAAAAGCGTGCGGCTTTGTGTGTGCATATCCTGGCGTACTGGGTTATTTAATGTCGAACAGTCTGCGAAACATGTTGATAAACTCTTCCGGTTGTTAAACCAAACCCGGTTTATTTGTCTCGCACTTTTATCACCACTACTCAAACCGGTTGCTTGACCTACATATATTTTCAGTTTTGCATATGTTAATATGCGGTATGGTCCGTCGGTTTCCGTCAGCCAATCAGATGCAGCCTATGAAGCTGCTTCGCAAGCGTTGTTAGCTTGGCGATTGGTCGAAAACATCACGACCTTGTGTCAAACTAAAAATAGCCAGGCACGCCAAGGGTATACTTCCAAACAGGGTAACGGCGCGAACAAGCAACAGAATATGTATAATACAGAATAAATGCGAAAACTTGAATATGAGCGTTGTTTTTCTTTTGTCCGCCCTAAATATTTCGATATTCTACAACAGACTAGTTGTGTTTTTAATTCTTGAAATTTGTCACTGTCAACGAAAGTTTGTTATTTACCTTGTTCTGTGAAATACGGCACATCCTTATAAGGAAGTCGTTTACTACGCTAGCGTAAATTTGACAGCTCCAGCGATGACAAGCCATCGTATTCAGGCAAGTTTAGTCAGTTGGTTTGGCAATACTACTGCTCATAAACCATCACCAGCTGAGAAAACTGGTGAAAACAATGACACGGAAAATGAACCTTTGCCAAAGAAACAAAAAGTTGAAAAACGGTTTCAAAGTGACTGGCTTACAAAGTACAGTTGGCTAAGATTTGACACATCACTTGGTATGACTTGTCATGTTTGTATTTCTGAAACCAAGACCAATGCATTTACTGTTGGCTGCCATAATTATAGGCATTCCACTCTGGTAAGGCACATGAAAGCTGATGACCACAATTCTGCTATTCAAGCTACATCTCTGAGACAGAACATGTCCACAGTTGTCTCCAAAGTGCTAAATGACAAAGGAATGTGCAGTTCAATCTGCAATGCTGAATATATACTGGTTGGCAAAGGAGCAGATTGCCTCATCAAAATGTGCTGCATTGATGGAATTATGCATGCTTCATGGGTTATCATTTCCCAAAACATTAGGTTGTGATTCAGACTCTATGAAATACACATCTCACTGTGCAGTTGACGACATGCAAGATGCAATAGCTAATTCCTTTTCGTGTCTCAGTAACCAACAAAATCAGTGCTAGTCCTTGTATATCCATATTGATTGATGAAAGCACAGATATATCAGTTACAAAGAAACTCCTAATCTACACAAGATCTCTCAATTCAGAATTTGATGTTGAAACAAATTTCCTTGCTAATGTGCAAATTCCTGATGGCAAGGCTACTACTCTTCTAGAAACTGTCAAAAAACATTACAGGATCGTAGCATTCCTATGTCCAAAATCATTGCTGTTGGGTCAGATGGGGCTGCTGTTATGACTGGACGCAAGAATGGTTTCGTGGCATTGCTCAACAAGGAATCAACTGTGCCTGTCATCGGTGTCCACTGCATTGCTCATCGCCTTGCCCTGGTTACTAGCCAGGCTGCTGAAAATGTTCCCTATCTGAAGAAATTTCAAGGGACATTATCAGACATTTTCTATTTCTTCAAGAAATCCTCTGTCCGACGGGAACGTCTTTATGCACTAGAGGAGGTGCTTGAATGCGAAAATGTCACATACAAAGAAATTCACAGCGTCAGATGGTTTTCAATCTACAATGCTTTGGAGGCTGTGTTTAGGTAAGCTACATCTTCTCAAATATATTGTCCAGTTTTATGCAAAAAGAAAGCTCTGAATTTTAAAAAAAAACAAACTTGAAGTTCTTTCAAACATCTTAATCTTTGCAATAGATTTACATAAATATTGTTTGATAATTTATATTACAGGACTTGGAAGCCCTTGGCTCTGTTCTTGGAGAGTGGCGGGTGGAAACAAACAACAGTACTGCCAAAGGCATCTTGCAGCGCATTTCCTCTTACAAGTTCCTTCTTGTCCTTCACCTTCTGATGGACATCATCCCCACCATGACCAGACTAAGCCTCCAGTTTCAGAAGGAGGACATAGACCTTGCTGCACTGAGGCCATCCATTGATGCTGTTATACAGGTATCATGAAAGCTATATGTTTGCAATCAGTTTCAACCAAAACAATATATGAAGCAAAATTTTCTTCAAATTTGAAACAATTACTTGGTTCTTACTCAGGATAATATGAAATAAATGCTCCTTGATTGAGAACTTTATTCTAAAGTCTCACTTTGCATGTTACTCTGTTCTAGCAACTGCAGTATTTGAAGGAAGAAAATGGACCGGCACTTGTACAGTTTGAAAGTCAGTGTCCAAAGGGAAGCTGCGAGTTTGATGGTGTCCCAATAACATCAGAGGCTGGCGTTGAGAAGCGGTTCTCAAATGTTCGGGCTGCTTTCCTGCAAAACCTAATGAGCGAGCTTGAGTGCAGATTCCCAGCTGTGGCCACTGATGTTGTGACATGCATGTCAGTACTGTCACTGAGGGGACTCTCTTTCTTGTCTGAAGGTAATATAACTGTAAAATGTGTTATCAGTTTAGCCTATCTCATGAAAACAGACAAAGTTTCATTAAACTACAGTATAATTTCAGAAAATATATAGATAAAAAACACAATTTTACGATAGACTGTAGATTCATTTTAAATAATCTTCATTGTACTTTTTTTAAAGTAAGATCATTTTCATATTGTGATGATACAAACATTTCACAACTGATGTGGGACTGGTCTGAGTTAGTATTGTTTAGATATTCATTTGCTGTTGCAGATGCTAGAAAACACTGGGGTACAGAACAACTTCAAAACATCATTGACTTCTACAGTCATCGTGAGAAGACCTTTGTAGATGCTGAGGAGACCCTGAGAGAATGGGCAATGTGCAAGGATATGGTGCATCAGCAGCATTATCCTTGTACAAGTATCTGTCAGTTATGGCAGATACTGTCGTCAAGACACCCTGATACATTTCCAAATCTGTTCAAGATTGCACAAGTTGCTGTCCTGTTGCCCCTTCAAACAGCAACTGTTGAGAGGGGTTTCAGTGTTCAAAACCTCATAAAGAGGTCACACAGAAACAGGCTATCATCAGAGCGGCTTGACACGCTGATGCAGCTGGCTCTAGGGCCTCCTGTAAGGGATGTTTCTCTTGCACCAGCCGTCACCAAATGGAGAAGTGACAAAAGAGAAAGCTGTTTTGCTAAAACTAATGTTGTTGATGTTTTCGCAGTTCCAAATTGAAATCTGATTTTTACAACCAATGTGTTGTGTTGTTTATGCTATATTACAAACCAAAATATGGACCCATCCATTTTTGGGGGACCCCTAATTTTAAAGAAGGGGTCCAAGTGACTAAGAAAATTTAAGCCAGAGCAGACACTGGAACTGCACTTTGATCTCCATTATGGAGGGCTGCTCTTGAGAGGTCTGAAACAGTCTTTGCCTCCCAATGTCTACATCATTTCTCAGTGATAGACATACAGGGTCTCTATCAGTATGGCCCCTTTGTCCTGGCGCAGCAATTATCATCGGCCCATCATCATCATCGGTAAAGGGACGTGTTTCAATGGCATAATTTGTGCTAATTTGTAAATTAGCCAATGAAGTTGGTTCCTTATCTTTAACTTCCACTTTGGGCATTGATCATCGTCATCCAGACGTAAACTGGGGCATTGTGGTACAGTCGTCATGGAGTGCTTGAGAGACTACTCTTGTACTACGATGCCGAGACGTTCGACACTTATGCTTACTGACCTCTACTCTTGCGAGCAATTATGTCAGTAATGTGTTAATACTGAATTCCAATGGGTTTTGAAGTGTTTAGCCAAGTTTGCAGGACACGTTCTTGATATGTGAAGGAGTTAGGGTCATTCAATGCCGCTTTGAACTGGCCATTATACTAGTTGAGCGTGCTGGGTCATGTGTCCTTTTCAACTTTGGGTGTGTACTGGGTCATGGTTTCGAAGCAGGGGTCTGCCGAGATAAGGGTCGCAAAGATTATTCTCTGATGGGGTTTTATGGTATGTACAGGGCATAATCTTTTTATCCTTTTTCCTTGTACAGAATGGATTGGCGGCAAAACCACATTTTTTTTTTGTGCCAAGTGTGCTAAGGGGTAGGAAAAGTAACCCATCACAAGTATAGAAGTTATGAAGTCAATCCTAGATTGCACTCGTAATGGGCCGCCTTGTGTACCATCACCACTTCACATGACTCATCTATAAGCTACATACACCAAGGAGATTGAGTAATCTGCACCCACCATCCAACTGTAAGGGGAGAAAGTGCAAACCGTGAGATAGGATAAGTTTTATAAAAATTTAACATTTTAACTGTAAATTGTATATTTATAATACTTATCCAATCTCATCGAGCAGATCACATCAACCTACCCCTATAAACAGTTTGCATTATCTTACAGACTACGACAAATGATCCATGAACATCCATTTTGGGTGATCAAGCCGGAGGGCATGCAGCATGCGTTACAGGGACTGTGGCTGTCAGGGAATGGGAGCAGTGGGGCATGTTTGGGTGAATGGAACAAGAGAGGCAGAAAACTTTGCATACAGGTTGTTTCCACACAGCTGTCAGTCCTGAGAAAGAGTGCAAACCTTGGGGTAGGATAAGCAGGACGCAATTTCAGATATGTTAACCTACTTGAAACAGGTGCAACCTAAGACAAAAACCTAGTTGCACCAGCCAAATTCCAGTTTCAACGTAGTGTGTTAAAATGTCAGAGGCTTCGATGCACATAAACATATTTCTGTGATGATGTACCCAAGAAACCACAGCAACACATATATACAGCTAGTTCCTGTTTACTGGAGCTGTCATGGTCAAGAGGTGTCTAAAATTGCATTGTTTTGGTGCTGTAGCTATTCAAAGTTTGGTAGGAAAATGAGCTGACATATTACTGCTTATAATGTTAAATTTGTTGTTGATTTATTTCTTGAAAATTGACTTGCACCTGGTGCAAGTAAGACTAATATCTAGTTTGCACTTAGTAATATTGGATTGCACCAGTGCAAGTAACAAAGCACTAAATCGAGCCCTGATAAGTATTATTAATATGCAATTTATAGTTACAGTTTTCAATATCAGGTAATCTTCAGAAACACATGAAGATTCAAAGTGGAATCAAGCCTTAAGAATGTGGGGAATCATTGACACAATCAAGTTTTCTGCAGAGAGGGTTATGAGAAAGGATGTATACTTGCAGGCACCCTGCAGAAACACAAGGATTCATTGTGGAATCCCCTCTTTTCAATGTGTTAAATGTGGGAAACATTTGCACTGTCAGACACTTATCCTGTAAAACAGTTCAACTGATCAACTGTTGTTTTAGTGTTATGTTTACATAGCAAGGTGTAAGATTAATGGGGCGGTGGGGTAGCCTAGTGGTTAAAGCGTTGGCTCGTCACGCCGAAGACCCGGGTTCGATTCCCCACATGGGCACAATGTGTTAAGTCCATTTCTGGTGTCCCCCGTCGTGATATTGCTGGAATATTGCTAAAAGCGGCGTAAAACTAAACTCAGTCAGTCAGTCAGTCAGTAAGATTAGTTATAGATATCCAGTGCTGATCTTGGGTGGCAAGTCAACGTATACAGTCCAAACTTACATAACTTGGATTAGGTGAAACACAACAAATATGTGTTAAGACACATCTTTAATGAGTATTCCAACGCTTGAAAAAGACTGCAATTGTACCTTTCAGTTTTATTGAGTGAGTGAGTTTAGTTTTTTGGACCCTTAGCAATATTCCTGCAGTATCATGGCTGGGGACACCATGTGGGTAATTGAATCGGGTCTTCGGCTGACATACAGTATACACACTGGGGACGCAGTTTGGCGTTGGGGTAGCCTAATAGTTGTCCATGTCAGGCAGTCAAGGGATGATCAACAGGCTCGCTGCAGTACCAGAATATACTCTCCATAACAGGTAAAAGCTGTTCCAAAGCAAAGACACCGATCAAAAGCACATCAACTCAATCGTCACCCAGTCTCTCTTTCCTACTCTTATTGTCTTAACATAAGCCTAATGGGGTAGTGTCCGTATATGCATGACCTGAGTTTTGGAATACATATGGGGAAAGAATAACATAATAGAGTTCCGGTTCGAAAACAAATAATCATCATGTTTCCAAAATGCAATGAATAAGTTAAGCTTGATCTTATTCCAATATGTGAAGCAATTTGACAGAATCTAGTCAGTTAAACAACTTTACATGACATCACTTTGAGGCTGCCACATCTGGACTGTCCCTGTATGACATTACTCATATTTCCTGCAAGACGGAAACGTGACTGAACGGGGAGCATCACCGGACCGAGAGTCCTGCTACAGTGACTGACTAAAGATCCTGCAACATGTGAAACATGCCTGGATTATAAGGTCAACCATGAGTACACACAGAAATAGTTCCCATAATTAAGAATTATAAAAACACAGGAGGGAGCTTTGGGGAATTCTTACATGTGCACATTTGTCCCTGTGGGGAATCAAACCCAGTTCTTCTGCATGACAAGTGAACACTTTAACCACTAGGTTAGGTCCCCTACTGCCAACACTGTTCACTACTTAGGTGATAGTGGCAGGACCGCCCCAACTGAACCCACCATTATAGGTTCTGGTACTTTTTGACATCTCTTCCTCATTTAATGGTATGGCTCAGACGCTGCTTTTGGACACAACAGAGGACACAAGATAATTATCAGTGGAAAGTCAAGGATTTGAACCCTGACTATTTCATAAATAATGCTGAGATGATTTCATATTTGACTTTTAACTTAAAACCATATATATGCGTTAACGTAATTATGTCAGATCTACAGGTGTTTTTTCAACATCTCAATATCACCAGCTAATTATCAACATTGACAAGAAAATTCTTTGACAAGTTTACAGTTTGAAAATTGTTCATGATAGAATTGCTTCATAATTTATACAAATAAACAGTTAAAAATCACTGCCCATGCACAAAATGTATCTGTATGTATTGGCATGAAGGAACCTGGTGTATTCCTAGCACAACAATTGGACATTAAAAACTGCAAGAGGGGACATAACTCTGTATAGTGTCACAAAGTACCTCTGACAACTTGCCACACATGCATATGTATGAATGTTATTTAGACAGTTCTGAGCAGCGGTCATCTGACCTCTAACGCCCTTTCATGACCAAATCGTGTTGTTCCAAGACAAGCCGAACAGCGTCTTCTTGGGGTTACGGGGAGTACTGCACTTTACCGGGCGCACTGTTTCAGATTAATTAGCGTTGCTGGGTTCTCTAACCCTAAGGATCGTAAAGGGTGCCTAACCCTAAGGATCGTAAAGGGTGAAAGGATCGTAAAGGGTGCCATACCCTAACCCTAAGGATCGTAAAGGGTGCCATACTCCTAACCCTAAACCCTAACCCTAAGGATCGTAAAGGAGCAGCGAGGGCTGCGTCCGGTAAAGTGCATTCTAGCCGGTTACGGAAAGCGCGAGTGGTGACAAATGCCCACATTCACTCGCGAAACCTCTCGCGAAGGGCACGGTTTGTTGTGTAACGCCGCTCTCAGCAATATTCCAGCTATATGTCCTCTGTCTGCAAAAAATGGAGTCTGGGCCAGACTATCCAATGATCAACAGCATGAGCATCAATCAACACAGCTGGGATGCGATGACATGTGTCAGGCAGCCTGACCATCACTTTTTAGGGCAAGCATGAGTTGATGAAGGCCAACTCTACGAGGGGTGTCCCAAATGTTTTCAGCTTAATTGATTAATATGCTGTCAATATAAAAATTGCACCATTTATTGCGGAACCCTTCCTTAAACAGTCTATCATGATTACGCCCTGTGAGTACCAGAAAACGGAGGCCATGACTTTGCCACTGGAAGACGTTTGGTGACGTCACGTGCTTCCACGGCATACTTTGATATTTTTTGTCTCTTGGTCAAAGTGATGAACCCAGGTTTCATCCCGAGTACCAATATGACCCAAGAAAGCTCTCTCCGTTTGTCCTCGAGAAGCTGACGACAAACCATGACTCTCAGACGTTTGTGTTCTTCAGATAACATTCTGGGCACCAAAGGGACAGACACCTTGTTCATGTGCAAGTGGACATGGATTGTTCGTTCCACTGATGTCTTGCTGATGCCATGTGTAGTAGCTAAATGTTACTCGCCTGTCCTGCATTATTGTGTCAAGAACAGCATCAATTTTATCTTTGTTGGTCACTTCACGAGGGCGAC